TTTCATATGCTTCTCAAAAGACTTTCCATGACATCTGTGCACTATTACTCTCTCTCTTTCATCTCATCTCACAAATACATGCAAATGCTCTAAGTTAGTGTCTATTTTTCCCTCTTCTGCTTATATACAATATCCTCGGGTAATCATCTCCACTCTGTTCCTAGAAACATTGATGCTGCTCAGAACCTTCAAAGCTGGTCCTCAGTTACATTTCTGCCCCGAATTGTCACTAGTTATTTTCAGCTCTTTGCTTAGAATCATCACCATGTCTCATATATAAAGAAGAAAGTTCCCACCTAAAGTCCTCCTCTTTATTCATGTATGCTGACACTTCTGTTTTCAGAAATTAGTGGAGATGTCAAGAAACTCAAGTTTTCACCTGCTTCTTTCAATACCTACCCTTCCCACTAAAGTCAGCCAACATTCATCTATCTTTCCTTCTCTTATTATCAACTGTTTCTCATAATCTCTGACTGGATTGTCTGTTCAGTCATTTCCTTAGTCTCCATTCTTTTTTTTTTTTTGTCAGTGAATAGGTTATACATTTTATATATCAGGCTGGGCATATAAAATACATCATCTAGCTGTATTTCCAGAGACTAGTGATTGTTTTAATTAGTGTTTGCTGAATAAGCTAATTAATTTAAAAAAAAATGGGGGTGGGTGGGTGATAAGGACCAAAATGAAAATAAATAAATAAATACATAAATACATAAATGAAACTTAATGTGAAAAGTGTTTATTTTAATAAGTTTTATAATTTATATGATACAGAATCTTCATGAAACTCTCAATTGTATGTATCCTGGATGTTTCCTTCAATGACTGAGATGAACTTGAAATTGGCACAGTTTACAAACTGACCAGACGTTTAGCTAACTCCGGACAATCCTCAAATAGTTCCCTGTGGCAAAGATCATGACGGGGGATTACAAAAGGAACTCCCAAACCAAATGCCTATTTCAGGCTCTGCGTGGGATGCTTTTAATGAATCTTCCATAAATGGAAACCCACTGGGTCATTCATGGTTCTGCAGACCAGAAAGCAAGCCCCATAGTATGGGACTGTCTGTATTGCATAATCCGAAAATAAACCGGCCAGAGGAAGTGCACTCCTTTGTCTTTTAGGAAGTCATAAAGTCACATAAACCAATAGAAGGCTCTAGCCAAATCACTTGTCATTTGAGAAGGAGTGGAAGGCAAACCTGAAAAGTGGGAGTTGGTATAAAAAAATCTGAATACCAAGAGATTCCTAAACAGAGTAGAGTGAAAAGTCTCAAGGGTGTGAGGCGAGGATCCTTGTTTCTGAGCTCATTCCTGAAAACCAAGAACCACGCAATGGTAAAGCTAGAGAAGACACTGGAGAACTAATTCAGTCTACCCACCATCTTCACTCAGTCCCATCTCTGTTAATGTTTGGTAGATAAGAAAAGACAAATAAGCTTGGAATAGAAAATTTTTTGATTGTGTAACAATATAAAAAAGTGGAAATGGGTAATAAAGATTTTAGAAAGAGAATTTTAACTATCCTTTCAAGAAAAGTGATATGGAAACTTCTACAAGAAATCCAAGACTGGTGAGGTGTACTAGATTTTATGACTTTTAGATTATTTTTAAGCATATGTGATTGGACCAGATAAAGGCTTGACAGAAAATGGAAAAAGGACAAGTGAGAACATAAAAAGAAAAAAGAAAGTTATACTTAATTTCTTTTATAAATCAAACATAAAAGATATAAAGGATGTTTCCTTTTATAAAAAGCACTTTCAGGTTCAGCAGACATGCTTATATATGTACCTCAGCTTCTGCAGAGGTACAGGGATATTTAAATATTACATTACACAGAAATTTATTTTTAAACTCTCATTAAGTATCTTACCAGTAGGCAAAGGAGCAATAGCTAATATTAGGACCACATCTCTATCATTGCTCCAGGAAATGGAAAAGGAAGCAAGAAAAGGGAATGAGAAGAAGGGATGTATTAATCTTGGCCATCCTCTGTCCAGATACCAAGTTCAGAAATTCTGTGTGGGAATTGGGGCTAACCAAAGATTGAGACCTAACTTGTCCAATTTTGACCACACAGAGTTTTAACTTTTACTAAAGTGGGTTTTTTTTTTCCAAGTAAAGCACAGAGATCCAATTGAACTTGCTGAAAACAAGTCTGTTGTTCCTCAAAGCTTTCTGGGTTTTTCAAATGTGTAAGATTCCACAGAGTAGTCTTGAGGAAATTTTCTCTACTAATTACTCCCTTAAAAGGGTGGACTCTTAAATACACCCTTTGTCTATTCCCCTTTCTCTCTGAATTTCTTTCACCCCAATTTCCCAGTATCTCAAAGAAATAATTACTCCCTGTGATATTGGGTCATGGAAACAATACCATGTCAACTTCCTAAAAAATTACAAATTGTATCAGTGTTCTTAGTGATAGAGTCTTGAGTCCAAAAGTCTCATAATTGAAATATTTTATATTTTGACTTTAAAGAATGATTTAAGAATAATTGCATATGCTTTGATAGCTGAGATTCCCTTATCTTCAAACTCTAAGCCCCCAATTCTCCAAAATATAAAGTTCTTAAGCACTTACATAAGTGTCAGGAAGCTTTGGAATTTGGAGCATTTCAGATTTTGTTTTTCCATGTTAGAAGTACTAACCAGTTGTTGGTGTTTATGTGGTTCTGTAGGGTGAAGCACATGAGCAGTTGTTATCATTTTCCTGCTCATCCTATCTTCATCATGTTTGAGTAATGGAGAAGGTGTCACTATTGATGAACAAATGATCCTTCTTGATCCCTGTGGAAATGGGCACAGGACAATGATGAGAAATATGGCTGGATGTAGCACTTGAGATAAAAAGCCTCTCTAGACCTATGAGCCATACCTCCTGAAAGCCAACAAAACCCTCAAAAGTGGCTTTCCAGGAAACGTAAATTGAACCGCAAGAGAAAATAAAAAAGTATGTCTCATTGCTTTCATATGGGTTTGCATGTTGTGTTAACAAAAACCTCATGCCATAGCACTGGGGATTGGAGAAATATTTGAACCAGATCCTTAAAACATGCCTCATAGCATATTGAAATCAACAATAGACAGTCAGTCATTTCATCTTTGCGTCCTTCAAGACAATAAATAGCCTCAGGGAAACAAAAGAACATGTTTTCTTCAGAACCTCTCAAGTTATGGGGTACCCTGGTGAGCAAGCAAGGCCTGACATTGCACTGCTCCACTCTCAGCTTGTTGGTTGGCGTGTCTCATATTGAAGCACCCTGAAATATTCTCTGCTAAAAGATCCATCATCCTGGGGAGGTAGTCTTTTTCCATCAGTTTATCAGCTCATAAGTTCTAAGAACACTGGCTATATTCCACTGAGAAGTAAACGGAGTCACTTAGATTAAAATATTGAACACTTATAAAAGGAACTAGTCTTCTTGCCTTGACCACATCTGCTTTAACAGGGAATGCCGTTTCTCTAGCTTGGTGTGTTTTCCCCAGGTGTGTGGTAGTGGTGAGTGGGGGACATTTCCTGAGCTCTACAAACAAGATCTTGGAAAAAAAATTACTCTTTGGTTTGCTTCTTTCCCCAAACCTGTAAACAGTCAGTGTTGATCCCTGCACCAAAAAACAAACAATAAAACCCAAGCAAGCCACCCTTTACACACAAATGACACTGCTTCTTCTGAAAGCATGTTTCCTGTAATTAGTGTGAAGTTGTTCTCTGAAGACTTTGGGGAGGTAGTGTTCACGTGCCTTGGTTCTCCGTAAAGTTCCCTTGCCTGTCGGCTCTTTGCTTCTGGTTCACAAGCTTCTTACCATGGTGGATGGTAGCTTCTTAACCCATGCTTGTTCCCTGATCTTTCACCCAGTGAATCCAGGGAAAGGCAGTCATTTTGTCTTCTAGATGTGTTTTATCTATGCGAGGCAAGATTGCCAGCCAGCATGCTCTTTGGAGAAAATGTCAATTTTAAAATACTAGTACTCTTCTAGGGGGTTATAAGCTTAAAGGGACTGTGCTCTATGTGACTCAATAGCGTATTCCTTGTTGCTGAATTCTAGCAGACATTTTACAGGGATCTATTGCATTAATAAATGAACTAATGAATGAATGATCCATGCTATTAATAGCCACTGATAAGCATGTACTTTACCACTTCATCAACTCTTTATTTCATTGCTTTTCATTATTAAGCCCTAATTAAGGAAACTAAAAGTGCCATTATCTAGGCCTGAGTCCAGCTACTGTAACCAAATTAGCAAGTATAGTCTCCCCATCTTCTACTTCATGTTTCCCATCTTCTTAACCTGCTTTTTCATTTGTTTTCTTAAATACTGCTTAGTTTTTAACATTCCATACATTACTTTATTGTATATATTTTCTTCTCTAACCGGACTATAAATTTCAAGGTGCAGAATTTCTGAACTATTTAATTTAGAACTGTTATCTGGAGTGCTTAGGACAAAATATGGCACACAGTAACTAGAAAAGCCAATATGAAAAAGTTCTTACATTAGAATCAACATAGTACTTTTGTTCATTTGTAGTGTTAATCCCCAATCCCCACCAATAGGAACTCAGTGCTTCTGGTCTACGTCTTAGAGATCTGCATTTCTGACAAGGAGTCTAGATGACTTTAGGGTGGATATTGTGAGAGTGGTCATTTCTTCCACTGACTAATCCAGAGATCATCCTGAGACCTGGGGTGACAAAGTCTCTGAGGTCAAATGGCTATTCAATGCTCTTTTACCCCAGTGTCAGTGCTAGTTTGAGCTTTTTTATTGTGGTCTTCTATGAGTCTGCATGGCCTTGTTCATCTGTTGCTGTCTCTCCTCTTGGTTGTTGGCAAAACCACTGGAAGCAAAGTCATGGCTTTGGAACCTTTCTTGTGTAGGAGCTCCCAGGAATGGCATTAAGATGAGGTTGTGGGTGACTTTTGACTCAGACGTTGCCTTGGCACAGAACTACCACCCTGTTTCTACACTGACTAATCACCACCTCTCTTCTAGTTTCTGGACATCATTGAATGGACCACACAGGAAACCTTCCCTCCAAAGTACCTTCACTATGACCCAGAAACCGGTCGTCAGCTCCTGTGTGACAAATGCTCTCCTGGCACCTACCTGAAACAGCACTGCACGGCCAGGAGGAAGACGGTGTGCGTCCCTTGCCCTGACCACTCTTACACAGACAGCTGGCACACCAGTGACGAGTGTGTGTACTGTAGCCCAGTGTGCAAGGAGCTGCAGTCTGTGAAGCAGGAATGCAACCGCACCCACAACCGAGTTTGTGAATGCGAGGAAGGGCGCTACCTGGAGCTGGAATTCTGCTTGAAGCACGGGAGCTGTCCTCCAGGTTTGGGAGTGGTGCAGGCTGGTAGGTATCTGCTATAATGCACAGCAAAATCACTTAGGACCATAGAAAGCCAGATAGCAGCTAGTTTAAGGAACAGTGTCCAAATAAAAGGTAATAGTACCTGTGAGCTGTGTATCTGGATTGTTTCCAAAAGATTTTCTCAAAGGAATACTTTGCCACTACAGTGTAATTTAGTGAGGAGTCTCAAATGCAGCAAATTGGTCTCTAATGAGATGCATGATGGATTACTCCATTTTAAAGGACCATAGTCTGAGTTGCACTGCAAGAAGCTGATATATACCGCCACGTTTCACTTTGGCATAGACAGTTTCAGTCTGCAGTGCTTTTTGACAAACATCAGAAATGTTAATTGATACCAAGAGAGTAATTATGCTGATATTAGTGAGGCTCTGGAGTGCTAACAATGAGCAGTTGTAATTAATTATGTAAAAATGGAAAATGGCTAGGGGAAATATATTTCATTATTAAAAATGAAGCTGCTTCTCTTTTTGGCATGAGAGTTGAATGTTTTGGAGCATAAAGACAGTAGCAAACCCTCAAACCAGCTTATTCTTTATCTTAGACAAAACAGACTGTCCACCCAACAGGAAGTCCTTGTACATAAAAAAAGGACTTTCTCTTCTCCCATTCCCAACATCATGGGCTGGGGCTAGTGAGAAATTTTGAAAGTTGAAACCCAAATTGCTTTTCTAGCATATGTACAAAGCTGCGCTGTGGACTACAGCTGCTTGTGGCTTAAGAAAATGAAAAGCAGCCACTTAGCGGGAAGAAAGAGTAATCCGTGTAAATTCTGATAAGTCGCTGTAAGGCAGAATCCCTCAAGTCCGCTCTCTTTACTTAGGCTAGATTGTTCCTTTATATGGGAGACTGCCTGGTGCCTCTCTTATGCCCTGTGAGTCTAGCAACAAGCTACCAGCTGCAAGCCTCCTCCCACTGTGGTAGGCCAATATGCTCCGGGCTGAGAGGTCACGGCCTAATACATGAATTGCTTGGGACAAATTCTAAGTTGAGATAACCAGTATTTTAGGTTTGAAGGAAGACACAGGAAGCATATATACTTGAAGCCATGTGTGGTAGCAAAGGCCTAGGGAGTCCCATCTCCAAAGAAACACCAAGATGACCCTGAGGTTGACGATACCAAGGGTACAAGGAACAAGAGGCTTCCAGGCCAAATGGAAGGAAGGATTCTGTGATGTCATTCTACAAAAAAATATTTGATAACTATTTTTGTTGTTATTTTGAAGCCAACACAGCTTTCTTTTCTTTATATCCTCCTGATATTCTTCTGCTAGCTAGTCCTCTCCATATCAATGGAGTGTTTTGCATTTTGCCTGCCAGGCTAGGCTTTTGTTACATCTACAGATATCAAAAAGGTAAAATCATTATTTGAGGGCTACATCTTTTTTAGCTAAAAAAATTTTGACGATTTTAAAAGAAGTCCTATCCAGAAAAGTTATTAGATGAAGCCTATAAACAGATTATATCTGTATATCTATCCTTCTTGGATTCCTCTTGTTAAAGAATTGGAAAGGCCAGTTTACCCAAAGAACTATTTTATAATATTTTATATGAACTTCTTGTTAGGTGACATCAGAAAACTCAAGCCACTAATATATACCTGAAGAATGATAAAACTTCTTTCTGGTAAATCCCGTGGCAGTTGGCATATGGATTCTTGGGTCTACACAGTTACATGATTTATTCCCAGAAAGTTGACCAAGATGGATGCCAAAATTTTTCTACTTACAGTGCTGTAGAATTGAGCATGGAGTAGGGTTCCACCTAAGGAGAGGGCTGTATGAAAAGTAAACCAGAAACCCAAATGAAACAAATTTTGTTTTGTGACAGTGGTCCTTGAGACAATGTCCCTGCAGTGTTGAAATAGCATTTGTGTGAGACTTCAGGGCTGTGGTTTCCCCTCCTCCGCATCTCAGCTAGCTCTTTGTCATACTTACAGGTCCATGAATCACCAATCTTTTTATAAAGGAAGAGACAGGAGATGAGACTTGAGCCAATCTGTTTTACTTGCTTTTCCCCCCTTTTTCTTTCCAGGGTGGGTAAGAGACACAATGAAGTGGGAGGAGGAATTTTTTAATAAATGAGATTTAATAACTTTCTGTAGCTTTCATTTGTCTCTTTTGTGTCTGTTATCTTGCATGAGCCAGAGCTGGCCTGAGCAATCTACATTTGAATACTGAAGTCTAAATCTGTTCAGCCAGCTTACACTAGATGGAGATATTTTCATATGCAAATACACTATAATGTGTGCTATGTTCACACATAATAGAGTTCCAGGTTTGAATATATTTATTTTCAGTCCCATCTCTATTGAAAGTTTCTTAAACTCAGAGTTTTCAAAATGAGTGATGTCTTCAAAGGTACTAAATGTCTCAAAAGCATGAAGTAAAATACCCTTATAGTTATCCTTCCTAAAGCTTTAACCACCACACTGTTTACTCAACAGTGTAAACAAGCGCTCTATCCAGTCTGTTTATTATGTAGCTCAACCTTGAGTCAGACTTGTGAGTCAGCAGTCAACTTTCCACCATCTTCAAGAGTTTAGTGTAATGCGGCGTTCTCAAGGTTAATACGTTTCATAATTAGTAGCTAGGAGAGAAAGAGCTTCTGTAAGAAACGATTGGAATTTAACGAAGCAACATTCAATGGGTGCTGATTTCAAAGAGTGACAGTAAAACAGACACACGACAGTTATCTGGATGATTTTTTCCAGGAATAATTATGCGAAGAATACGGTTGACAAGCCTTACTGCACGTCATCAGAGGCAGGACTAATGATACCCATCCTCCTCTCTTTCCACCTCCCATTTCAGGAGTATTTTGTAGGTAACAGCACAACAAACTTGCGTGAAACAGCCTGAGGGGCTGACTGTAGAAGTTTTGTTATCTCTGTCTAATGAAGGGAAAAATGGAAATTCTGAAAGTTTCCTGCAATGCACAGTAGCAGTAAAAACTTAGTGAAAACTCTCTCCAGAACTGTGCTAAGTCATTATCTACAGAGAAAGGGTTGAGGGAAAAGGCACTAACTTTTGGGTATTTTCCACAGGAACCCCGGAGCGAAACACAGTTTGCAAAAGATGTCCAGATGGGTTCTTCTCGAATGAGACGTCATCCAAAGCTCCCTGCAGGAAACACACGAACTGTAGCGCTCTTGGCCTTTTGCTAACTCAGAAAGGAAATGCATCACATGACAATGTCTGTTCCAGAAACAAGGAAACAATGCAAAAATGTGGAATAGGTAATTTTACCCAGCACCACACTGTCTTCATACTGTTTCGGCATATCCTCCTCCTCTGACAGGACACAAAGTCACAGTTTACATTTCCTGACTCTTTTATTTATATTCCATTTCTTATTTATTTTTTAATTATTTATTTATTTTTATTCATTTTACATCCTTGTTTTAGTCCCATCCCTCTTTTTCCTCCAAGTTTCACCCTCCCCACTCTCTCCCTTTCCACTCCCCCTCTTCACCCTCCATCTTCCCCTTTGCTGCAGAAAATTAGCTAACTTCAAATTGTAGAATTAACTTACATATTTTTATTACTTCCTAGAATGTCTACATTAGCTAAAGTGTAACTTGGTAACCAAAAATGACATAAAGCAATGAAAAATTAGAAATGAAAGCTTGGCTTTGTTACCAATCCTATCTATAGATGTGTTACATGGGAGCTCTGAGGTGCTTTGCTTGTGTTAAACTCTTTAGGTTCCTGTCATCACATATAGATAGATCAAAGCACTCCCTGCTGGTGACCTGATGTTCTCTTACCCCGTGCCCCTGCTACTACACTAACTCAATACCTGGCTGAGGGACATCCAACCAGTGCTGTGTGTCTTCATGCATCAGGTCAAATAGGCACAGACCAGCATGGCTCCTCAAACATCTTTTCCTACCACACAGAACATGCAATATAGGAATGAACATAGGTACATTTTATAGTTCCAAACAACTTCCAATGCTTTTTACAGTGTTGTCAGATATCTTAATTTATTTAACCTTTTTCTTTTTCTTATCTAAAAAAAATAAAATGAGTGAAGAGGGTAATGAAAGAGTTAATTCTAGCCTTAACATTTCTTTTAGTTCAGGCTATATTTTAATTTTTTCCAATTAACTGAACATTTAGTATAGGCCAATTCATTCACTTTGATAATCTCAAAAGCAACCCTGACAGTTCCTTAGGAAAAATGTAGAGCTCTCACCTATGAATCCCCTGCTAGGTTTCAATTGATAAGCAACATGTTTACTACAGGAACATACAATAGTGCCCTATCATGATTGCACACAGAAACAATACACTGTTTTGATTATTATTTAAGTTTTTTCTAGAAAGTGATTTTGTGCTTTGGTTTTCCTTTGACACTGACTGAGGTACCTGGTAGTCGTTAAGTAACCTTTTAGCAAAGTATTAATATTTGCATTAGGTTGCAGAGTTTTTGTCAGTTATCAGTGTGCATCCATATTAAAGTCTCACTAAACATGAATGCTTATGCCTTCCCCCAAAATTGACAAAGGCAAACAAAAGAATGTTAGGTAACACACAAATCCAGTTGGTCTCTGTTACTGTGAGAATCCTACAGAAAACTGTTTATTCAGATTCCCGTCTTAGCACACTGCCTCGCAGAAAACTCAGCTTCCGTACTCACTTCATGATTGGTTTTGTTTGTGTTAGAAGGACTGAAGGTAGAGTGTTCAGTGAATCCTGTTATTTTCCACTTTCCTACAGATGTCACCCTGTGTGAAGAGGCATTCTTCAGGTTTGCTGTTCCTACAAAGATTACACCCAGTTGGCTTGGTGTTCTCATGGACAATTTGCCTGGGACAAAAGTAAACGCAGAGAGTGTGGAGAGGATAAAACAGCGACACAGCTCTCAAGAACAAACTTTCCAGCTACTGAAGCTATGGAAGCATCAAAACAGAGACCAGGATATGGTGAAGAAGATCATCCAAGGTACCACCTTCTTAAGTAAAAGAACCAAAGACACCTATTTGTCATAAAAACCAAATGGGACTATGTGGTGGGATGGGTGTTTTCCTTCTACAATCATCATGGTACTGACAATTTCCCACTAAGTGATCATGGAGGCACAATTCCTTTCACAGCTCAGGAAGTTTCTGTTCTCGCCCTTGTACTGACTAAACAAAGAGGCATGAGCTAAACAAAGAGGCCAAGGCTGGGAGGGAATAGGACTTTGCCCACATATTCCTTGGCGCTTTTCTCCAGTCACATCCGCCTAGAAGAAGGTCCTTGGTCCCTTGGCTCTTGCTCCACATTTCATGCTCTGCTGTATTTGATAATTCTTTTCAAAGGGGCACCAACTGTCTTCCAGTTAACTTCTCATTAATCCTAACTAGATAGCTTGCATCCAAATTACCATTTTAGTGACATCTGTGGTGAGGATTAGTAAAACCCTGTAAGTGTTTGAGCTTCTTCAAGGAGAAGGCTGTGTTTGTCTGAGCTAAAGCTTCCTGAGAATCTCTTTTAGAAATGGTGTGGACAGAGAAAATGAGGAGGTATAGAGGGAAGGAAAGAAGACACCCAAAGAAGAGAAAATGAACTTTGGTCTGTATGAAATTTATGCAGACCATAAAATAAACTTTCCATTTTATGATATACAGTGGAAAGAGTTCTGACTTTGGTTACCACTTGGGAAGTGATGCCACAGAGATGAAGGAGGGTTTTCTGAATGCAGACAGTGAGGAGCAGAAAATACCCTGCTGTGCCTACTGTCTGATAGGGTTTCCTTACACCACCCACAAAGCTTCAGACATGGGACGCCACAACAATAGATTTTAGAAAACTTACACCTTTTAACAGACCAGCGGTTTTCCTTATGCAAAGACGAAACTTTTCTGTGTTTCTAGAAAAACAAAATTATTCTTTGAACCTATAATTAGCCCTGAAGCAAAAAGAAAAAGAAATAGAAAGCCAGGAGCTGTCAGTATGTGAAGGGACCCAATTCCCTGCTTTATAAATGAGAACATTGCAGCCCAGAAAGATGAACGAAGTTGCCTTAAGGCTCACAGATAGTAAATGACTCATGTCGTTAATAGAGCCATTAGTTACTCCTTCTTATGTTTATGCCCAAGCTCATTGCTGAAATGCCCTCCAGGCTATGTGTTTGCTGTTCTTGGACTCCCATTACTGGCTTCTCATATCTGTTGCACTCTGGTGCTTCCGCAGTGCTCTGTATATTTATTAAAGACTAGTTAAAGTGACTCTTGTCAAATAGGGCCAAGGTTAGATGCCAGCTCAAGATATTTCCATTATAATATATAGAACTGGAATACTTTATTTCTGTTTTTGCCCTCCACCCCCTCTGAAATACTGTGATTCTAAAGTTGCAACTTTTGCTGGGAAAACTGAAGGTGACAAGTCTGTAATTTTCTATTGTTCACTGTCAAATTCCGAAGCTTCTCACAAAACTGTTGTTGGGTGCTTAAAATAGATTGTATGTTATCCTATTATAACATTTAATAATATGACCTTAGTAATCAGAAATAACTAGAGGTCACATAAGTCCCCTAAGGAAAAGCTTGTTTTTAAAATGAAGTTATGAGTTGTGTGAGAGTCTCTGTCTGAGGCATCAGATGAATAAGTATGACGTGGGCATCCATTTGGTTCATGCAGACATTGATCTCTGTGAAAGAAGTGTGCAACGGCATATCGGTCACGCAAACCTCACGACAGAGCAGCTTCGCATCTTGATGGAGAGATTGCCTGGGAAGAAGATTGGCCCAGAAGACATTGAGAGAACGAGGAAAGCGTGCAAACCGAGCGAGCAGCTCCTGAAGTTACTCAGCTTATGGAGGATCAAAAATGGAGACCAAGACACCTTGAAGGGCCTGATGTATGCACTCAAGCACTTGAAAACATATCACTTTCCCAAGAATGTCACTCACAGTCTGAGGAAGACCATCAGGTTCTTGCACAGCTTCCCCATGTACAGACTGTATCAGAAGCTGTTTTTAGAAATGATAGGGAACCAGGTCCAATCAGTGAAAATAAGCTGCTTATAACTAGAAATGATAAAGAAGCTGTTTCTTCAAGAAGGGCCAGACTGACAGAGAAGACTGTTTCTCAAGCACTGGAAAAACCTCAGTGATTGCTTTCTCATCAGCTGGTGGGAACGAAGACTCCCGACCCCATATTAAGAGCACTGGGGATCCTGAGTACCAAAAGTGAGGAAGGCTATTTTAAAATTTGCAAAGCAAGGTGTCAGCCCAGAATGTCAGGATGCTGAGTGAGAGCAGAGGGGATATTTTTATAACCCCAAACATAGGTCCCTTCCTTCTTTTCCTCGTGGCTGAGTATTCAGAAGGCTTCTATGATCTTCCATGTCATCCAGATCTTATTTTTCCTTCTGCAGCTGTTAGTCTATTACATTCTGCTTATTATAATGCTTATCAGGTGCACCAGCCTGATCGCATTAGTAGGTTTGCTAGGCAAGTTTGACTGTTAGCTATTTTTCCATTGGATGAGTTAATTTGGGTTGGGGGCGTGGCTAGACAAACGGGTGCGGGTTGTAGTTGTTTGTTTAGCAGAGCACCAATAAGAAGAGCACAGTGTTTCTTGTTCATCTGTAATTGGACCTAAACTGACTCAAAGTGCTCTTATTTTGAAACTAATTATCAAATTTTATGTATTACATCAATAGTGACTGGCTTTGTTTCAGGGCACAAACAAACAAACAAACCCTGTGATACGGAGAAATAATTGATACTTCCCCCAACATTCAACAAATCCCCAATAGTTTATCCAGCTCTCATATCTGGCCCAATATCTCACTACGTGTTCTCTTATTACTGCTTGCAGTAATTCAACTGGAAATAGCAATAATAGGAATGCAGTGTAAGCTCCATAGAATCTCTCTGAATATGGGAAACTCTAACTTAAATAGCTTTGAAATTTCAGTTGTGTTCAAAGCTTTTATCAAAAAAGCTGACACTCTTGTAAAAGTTGCTAATGTATCTTTAGGAATATTATAGTATTGCTATTTATATTCATCCAGATATAAGATTTGTACATATTATTATCCTCGAGAGAAATGGTGTAGGAATTAATTTTAGAGAGAAAAAATATTTCTGTTTACTATTATGACAAACAAAAGAGATAAAATATATTTTTAATAGAAACTTTGTAGAGTTTTCTAATAGGCACTGCCAGTTTTCCAGTGTGGAATGTTTTTATAATATAATTTTATCTGTATAAGATGTAAAATCATTTTATAGAAAAATGCATTATATAGTCAGTTGTTTAATGTCAGAAAGTGTATGAACTATAAATTATCTTAATATTAGATGCTCTGAAAAATTGAATGTATCTTATTTAAAAGATTTTATGATCGTACTATATAAAAAACACCATTAAAGTTTTCAAATTATTTTTCACTTCTTTTCCTCTTGTTTTTATTTAAACAGGACGTTAATGAGCTTGCAGGCTCACAATTTCCCTGTTCATCTTTGAGCCTCACAAACATCTAGGAGTTGTTTAAAATGCAAATTCCTGGACTACTGTGTTAAAAGCCCCAGGGATGAACAAATGTGTTTCAGGAAAAGCTCCAATGTGATATTTTTTTTTCTGCAGAAAAAGCTGGAGAATCTCTCTCTCACACACACTCTCTCTCATTTTTCTTTATTTTTAATTCACTTTACATCCTTGTTGTAGCCACATTTCTCCTCCCTTCCAGCCCCACCCTTCTCTCTCTCTCTCCTTCTTCCCTCTCCTTTTCCTCAGAAAAGAGGAGCTCCCTTTCCCATTCACCGGAGCTGATCAAGTTGCAACAGGGCTGAACTTGTGTTCTTCCCTGTGGTCTGGCAAGGCAGTCCTGTCAGGGGGAAGTGATCAAAAAGTGGGCAAGTGAGTCTATGTCCTATTCAGTCCCTACTTCCCCTACTCATTGATTGTTGCGCTTAGAGCCTGTGCTGTTGGTGTTCAGTTCAGCCTGCACAGCTGCAGATGCTGAGACTTATAGCCAACCTTTGGGCACAGTGCAGGGAATCCTATGAAAGAAGTGAGAGAAAGTAAGACCTGGAGAGGACAGGAGCTCCACAAGGAGAGCAACACAACCAAAAAATCTGAGCACAGGAGTCTTTTCTGAGACTGATACTCCAACCAAGGACCAATGATGGAGATAACCTAGAACCCCTGCACAGATGTAGCCCATGGCAGTTCAGTGTCCAAGTAGATTCCATAGTAATGGAAAGAGGGACTGCCTCTGAAATGAACTGATTGACCTGCTCTTTGATCACCACCCCATGAGTAGGGAGCAGCCTTACCTTGCCACAGAGGAAGACAATGCAGCCACTCCTGATGAGACCTGATAGGCTAGAGTCAGAGGGAAGGGGAGGAGGAGCTCCTCCATCAGTGGACTTGGGGAGGGGCAAGTGTGGAGAAGGGGGAGGGAGGATGGGATTGTGAGGGAGGTAAGGAGGGGGCTACGGGAGGATACAAAGTGAATAAAGTGTAATTAATAAAAATTAAAATAAAAAATGTTAAAAAAGAGAAATGCACAATGAGGAGAAAAAAGAGAAGATAGTGTGAAGACACCAATGGAAGAGGTGTGGCCCTGAGTCAAGGAAGCCAGCTTCTCCCAGACAGCTTCTCCCAGAGCCCTGGGTAGACTAGTGGGCTCACATCTGTCCTCCATATCGGTGAGGGAATGCTTCTGCTATTCTCAACCATCGCAACTGTGACATTCCTTAGAGCAGCTAGAGGAAATGTACAGAGGTGGCATCTGGGCTTCAGAAAGAACAGAAGTAAAATCATCTAGCTTCCTTTCAGCGGAGGTTCCTACTCTTCCTCCATTCTTACACATGTATCCCTCAGTTTGGTGCCAAATTCCCAATAGAAACCTCCACTTGCCTTACCCTAGGACTGTCTGACATAAAGACAAACCCAATGAGGGCCTGTACTTACTTATTAATTTTATTTATTTATTTTTTTAAGAAGTGAATTTGTGAAGAGGGTACACCTACCTCTCCCGCTTTCCCTCACTTCCTATGACATAGAATGCTACACTGGCACAAATCCCATGTTACAGCTACCTTCACAGAAGAGCAGGTTTGGGTAAGTGCATACACACACTTAAGTTTGAAGGTATAAAAAGCCAAGATATCTGGGCACAGGGTCTTTTCTGAGACTGACATGCAACCAAGGACCATGTATGAATGTAACCTAGAACCTCTGCTCAGATGTAGCCTGTGGTAGCTCAGTAACCAATTGGTTTCCCATAGTGAGGGGAACAAGGACTATTTCTAATAGGAACTCAATGGCTGGCTCTTTGGCCTCCCCACCCCCAAGGGAGGAGCAGTCCTGTTAGGCCACAGAGGAGAGCTTTGCAGCCAGTCCTGAAGATACCTGATAAAACAGGATCAGATGAATGGGGAGGAGGTCCCCCCTATTAGTGGACTTGGCAAGGGGCACGGTGGAGAGGAGGGAGGGAGGGAGGGACTGGGAGGGAATGAGGGATCGGGACACGGCTGGGGTACATAGTTAATAAAATGTAACTGATAAGAAAAAAATAAAATACGAAAAAAAAAGCCAAGGCAAAGTCATGTGACTTTGAAGACTAGGACCGCACTGTTGGCATACTAAGGCAGAACTGTGGACCAGGCAAGGGTCTGCACCCCCCTTCTGAACCCCAGTTCATCTGCTGAAGATCTTATCTCTAGACAATGGAATGGCCTATACCAGTCAGCGAAGCTTGGGTTTGATATTTAAAGGCATCAAGGCAACACTACTCAGATTCTTACTGGATGAGTCTCCCTAGCCACTCCTGTGGGTTGATTTATCCCAGTTTTCTCTGTTCTCAGAGAAAAAGCCCAGTCATGATTTTTCTTTCCCTTTCCTCAGGCCTAAAATCAGGCTTTCTCTCTCTCTCTCTCTCTCTCTCTCTCTCTCTCTCTCTCTCTTTCACTAAAAAGGGTATTAATGCTGGGCTCCTGTCTGCAAGCACAGCAGAGTATCATTAATAGTGTCAGGGGTTGGTTCTCTTCCACAGGATGAGTTTCATTTTGGGCTGGTCATTGGTTGTCCCTTCCTTCAATCTCTGCCCCACCTCTATCCCTACATTTCTTGTAGGCAGGACAAATTTTAAGTTGAAGGTTTTATGGATGGGGTGGTGTCCCCCTCCTTTCACTGGAAGTCCCACCTGGCTACAGGAGGTGGGCACTCAGGCCCCTTAACTCTCTCTTCTAGGAGTCTCAGCTAGGGTCACCCCCATAGACTACTGGGAGCCTTCCCTGTTGTAGCGATATATCTGCATTGATTTCAGTTCTGTCTCCCAGTCCTGTCCTCACCCCTGCTATCCCCATATCTGATCTCTATCCCTGCTCCTCTCCTTCCCCCTTCTCCCATCCAGTTCCCTCCCTCCACCTACTTCAGATGTCAGATGGAAGCTGATGCAGAGACCCACAGCCAAACAACAGGTGGAGCTCTGAGAGTTTTCTATAGGAACAAAAGGAAATATGGAGGGAGCTGAGGTGGAGGTTGAGGGTCCAGGACACCAAAAGAAGACCTACAGAGTAAATTAGCCTGAGCCCACGGGGCCTCACAGAGAATGAACCACCAACCACAGAGCATATATAGACTGGATCTAGGTCCTCTATACATATTTAGCAGATGTGAAGCTTGGTCATCATATGGGTTCTTTAATAATTGGAGTAGGGGCTGTCCCTGACTCTGTTTCTGACTTTGGATCTCTTTCACCTAGCTGGGCTGCCTTGTCAGGTCCCAGTGGGAGAAGATGTGCTAATTTCAGCTGCAACTTGAGATACTAGGGCTGGTTGGTGCCCATGGGAGCCTCCCCTTCTCTGAGAAGAAGGGGAGGGGAGAATGGAGGAAGGGGGTGTGAGGGTGGGACTCGGAGAAGAGGAGGGAGGGGGCTGCTATCAAGCTGTAAAGTGATTAAACAAATTAATTAATCAAGAAAAATTATATTAAGGGGAATAAAAAGATGTTGGCTCAGTGAGAAAACATGCTTGCTGCACAAGCCTAGTGGCTAGAACCCAAGCGTAGTGGAAAGAAAGGCCACACTTCACAAACTTGTGTTCTTAACTCTACACGTGTGCAGTGGCAAATGTGCCCGCTCCATCACACACACACTCAATAATAGCAAATAAATAATTTAAAACAGTGTTTAGAAACTAAAACGGAATGTTAGATGCATCCTTGCCCCTGAGATGTCCCTATGGCCAGGCCTTTCTCAATGAGACAACCAGTAAATACACAAATGCACATTAATCTGTATATGCACACACATACATAAACATATATATATATGTATATATATATGTTTATGTGTGTATATATATGTGTGTATATATATATATGTTTATGTGTGTGTAAATATACATACATTCATGCATGCATAAATATGTGTACATGTTCTGTGTGTGTCTGTGCGTGGATATGTGCAGGTGAGTACAGCCACCAGTGGAAGCTAGAGGCATAAGATCTGCTGGAGTTGGAGGTTACAAAAGGTTGTGAGTGGCCTGATGTGGGTGTTGGGAGACAAACTCTGGTCCTCTGGAAGAACAGCAGTGCCCTTAACCATTAAGACATCTCCCTAGCCCTCTCTCCATGTTTCCTGCTATCTATAAATCTTCTTTAGCAATGTTTTTTTTTTTTGTCCATATATTTTGCCGATTTTTAATTATATTGTCTCTTTTCCTCCTTAAGAGTTCTTTATTTATTCTTGGTACAAGCTTTTTAGGCTGCATGTGGTTTAGAAGTATCATTTCTCAGTTTGTGTCTTAGTTTTAATATTCTTGTTGTGAGTTTACAAGAGCAAAATTTTGAGCTGTTATTTAAAAAAAATCAGAAAATATATTCTTTTTCTGTAGGACAGGGCCTCACTGTTTATTTAGCTCTAGCTTTCTTGGAACTCACTACATAGGTTAGGCTGGCTTTGGCCTTCTCACAATCCTCTTGCCTCTACCTCAAGAGAGTTAGAATATGGGTTTGGGTCACACTCAGGTAGTGTGTGTGTGTTTGTGTATGTGTGTGTATTCCATGAGCATGAGCACAGCTTATATCTCAATATCCACAACAAATCCACATTAAACAGTGTTTCTTCTGTTTTCACAGTTTTTAGATGAAATCTAAAAGTGATTTTTAAATTATTTTTATTTTTATTAATTACAGTTTATTTACTTTGTATTCTT